TGATCTGTGCTCAATCTGCACTGGTCCTGAAAATCAAGCTGGTAATCTCCAAATCTCTTAAACACAAATGTGTCTTCATGGAATGGAACATCAGTAAAATTAGCTTCTATGATCATGAGGATGCAACCCAATAAAGATCAATTTGGTGCTATGCAATGGCAGTCACTGCCAGAAAGCATATCAGGCGCGAAGGGTCACTGTACCACAAGCTGCATTCGAGTTGGCGTGCTGATGACGTACTAATTGTTTCCAACGTTGTTTTTCTGTTATATCCATCAGGCTAACGTAAACATCAAAGATTAAACACCTGATAGATCTTGTCCAAGCACCATGCTCACACGGACTCTGTAAGAGCTGCTTTGTTCTGGTTCTTCATCATTTTTTGGAACTGCAAACGCTTATCAACCCTAATATCAACTATGCTGGTTGGAATTGGTTTAAGGGAACCATGCAACTCAACTAGGTTAAAGAATTCTTGCTTGCTCAGACTTTTTTTCTTAACAAGCGCATCAACAACAGAATCCATGAGTTTTCGGTTTTGCAGCAAGATCTGATATGAAATACAAAGATCACGTCAATGCATAGTTTTTTCTGGTAACACATCAATGAATAGTGGAACTTCCACAAAACATGCGATACCTCTTTTGTGCGTGCATAACACATATTTAGGATTCGCAAAGCCTCCAAATCAATCTCCTGAGGATCAAAATTTGCATTATCAGCAGGTGTGCAAATATATCCAGATTAATGGAAGTAGAAACACTGCTCGACTGTAATAAAATGACAGGAATATGAAACTCCTTTTGAGCTTGAGAAATGTCCATGAAACTTCTCCAATTTCACCCTTCATTTAATGAAAAACTAAAAAATTCAAGGGCACTTCAATTTTCACTCTAGTTTTTACTCCCCCTCTCTTTCCATTGTAAGTCAACAGGCATATACAAAATATTCAAATGGACATAAAGAAAAAGACTGAGGTTGGTAAAACACGGGCTTCCCTGTATCAACTTTAAGAAACTTCGCAAGTTATCAAAAACAAAGACATTAAATGGCTTCTACAGAAATTGGCAAGTATAAAGGTCAAGTCCATACATTTATTCGATCCGCAACCCAGAAGTTATTCAAACCGTAATGTTTCTCGGAAAGGCCACCAAGAACAAAAGCCCGTGCAGCTGACCTAGCATTGTCTGCCGTTTCTGCCCACATCGTACTCAACTGCAACATTTCAATCCATTAGTTACCAATCATTTCAAGGCCTCAATAAAATAAATCAGTACATTAATTTCTTTAACAGCACTACCTGCTCATAACAAGCAAAAGAGAAGATCAGGATGATCTAATCTTTTACAATCTCAATATAAACACCAACAAAATCATCAGTCAATACGGCCTTCCTTAAAACTACCTAAATGTGTCATGCCAAAATAATTCATAAATAATTTCACGTCTATACCACATAATAGGCAATATATTCTGTAAAATTGCAGATCATGTGACTTTTGTCCACAATTCTCCTAATAATTCAATCAACAAATGTTGCCACTTCTCTAACAGCACATTAGGCTTTATTATACCTTTTGCACCATAATCTGGCTCAAAGAATTCTGCAATAAATTATACAAATATATATGAAACGAAGTGCAAGGATTTCTTACCTGGCCCTCACCGTACCATATCTCATCAGCCGCACGCGGTGCTAGTTGAACAGTGATATGATCCAAGAGGGATTGCCGACTGAATGAAATTTGACGTAAAAAGAAATGTTATATCCATAAACAGAAGAGAAATGACAGTGGTGGAAGCCACACAACAGAAAAGATGATTAAAAATTAAAAAGTAGAACAGCAAGAGTCTCCATAGCATTCCTCAAGGCAACCTATTATTGCAGTAATCATAAAAACATTTTTGTTAATTAAAAACCAAAAACTACACCATTGCCTATTATCGACTGTTATATAAATCTTCATTGCCTTAAAACTATACACACCCAAGAGAAGAATTAAAAAAGAAAAGGGGAAGAAAAGAATAACGGATGCAGAAGAAAAGAATAACGGACGCAGACAAAAGCAATACCTCAACATTCCTTCCTTAAATTTGGTGTGATCCATCTTCATCCGGACATAGCCCAATTCTCTGCCAGCTCTAGGTGCGATAGTGACCTGCTCAAAGAAATAGTGTCAATTAATCAGAAGCCATGGTGACATTCCATAACACTGATGGTATTAATCAAACATCATATATAACCATTAATAAAGGATCACATAATACTAGACAATATATGCAAGGGATTAAATAAAAGCATAGAGTTGACTGTAAGGGCTATACAAACTCAATATTCCTTAGATCAGGGAAGTTCACGGCCACTACAGCCATTGCTGCTTCATTAATAGCAACTTGCTTCCACATCTCAGGGCTCCTCTCCTTTCGATCAAGCATTCCTCTTTCTTCTATTTGTGCGGCTTGTAATAAGTCATCAGTGGTAATCTGCACAGGTGCAGTAACACATTCAGAAATACCAATGTGGAATGACCACAACAATAGCAACTGCAGGTAATGATGTTGAGATTAAGAATATATTGTAACAGTGTCTATGTGCACCTATTCCTTTAGCCATGTGTACACACAAAATAGTGGGAACTGTCCAAGCCCATCGTCTCATAATCTAAGAAGCAACCATGGGTTGATACCGAATATGGACCTGGGGACTTATTCTGCAAACCACAGTGCTACAAGGCCCATAATCTTTTCAGAAATATACAACAAGAAGTTAAGATGCATCACATGAAACACTGTTCATATCAGGAATTACATTAAGACAGAAATGTACATACACAAACATCAATATGTGAACTTATGGATTTAAATTATTAAAATATATAACAAAATTCTATGACTGTTAGTCTGCTACTTTGTGATGGGGAGAAAGAGATATTCCCAATAAGGGTGTCCACTCCAACTCACATGGTTTGTTTGAGCACATTATATACAATGTTTTAATAAGTGTTTACTTGGAGTGTGATTCGTTCATAAGTTACATATTTCTCGCAATAGGGCCTTCTTTTCCCTTTCATAGTCCATAAGAGTTATTTCTAGTGCATTAACTCACATGAAATTCTCTTTATTCTTGATATCGAAGCTGCAAGAATCATGTTTGCACAAAAAAATAATGATTGCGGAAAAAAAATCAGAGATTGGTGCCACTGAATTGTTGACGTTTCCTTCCTCAAAGAATTATATCAATACTTCTTACCAAAGGCAAAGTCTTTAAAAATTCTACCATCTCCTGCATTTTGTTTAACTTCGTAAAGCCTTCGTTTCCCACAACTTCTATAGCAAATGAATAGTGACTACTGCATTTAGGTTATACATAGCAGTACTAACTAGGTAAGTTATCTACTACAACAGATGACAAACTTAAAGAAAATAACAATTCAATGTTTGCAAAAGCAAATACTACCTCAGTTCTTCCATCACGCATCATATTGATAGCAGCAACCTCAATTATGTTGGCCAGCTCAGCACCAACCATTCCATCAGTCATGCTGGCAACAGCCATGTAGTCCACATCCTCAGCCATTGGCTTCTTACGAGCATGGACCTACCGCCACGAAATAGAGAAGAGAAGTCACATTACTAGGATCTTCATATGCAATTGAACCAGTACATCATGTGCATGTACTATTGATAAAAGGGATGAACTGAACCTTCAGAATTTCAATGCGACCTATGAGGCCTGGTTTAGGAATATATATTTTCCGATCAAATCGTCCAGGTCTTACTAGTGCTGGATCTAAAATGTCTGGCCTATTTGTGGAAGCAATAGTGATCACATTTCCTCTTCCTTCAAACCCATCCAAGCACACAAGGAGCTGGAACATATTGATAGCCACTGGATATTAATGCATATTCGATTTATCATTTAAAGCAGTATCAAAGTAAAAAATTTTAAAGCACGCCCAAGCCCACCTGATTGAGAGTCGCATCACGTTCTTGTCCACCAGAACCCTTAATCAGACCACGTTCCCTTCCAACAGCATCCAACTCGTCAATGAAGACAACAGATGGAGCCTGTGCAAACCAATGGAAGAATGTTCATATTAAGAATTATTTGGCAGTGTCAAAGCATATTCACAAATGAAGTATTCATGATGCCCATGAAGTGAAGATATCTGACAGAAACAGCAAAAAGGAATGGTATAAGAATTATGCAATTTTAGCACTGGAAATCAGTCTCCCCTCTTGACATTAACACCTAAATCACTACTAATAGAAAGGAGAGAACATTGAAAAACTCACGATCAGGAAAAATATGAAGCTAGAAAGAAGCTCAAGAAAATGCCTACATTTTCCCTTGCTTCTTGGTAGAGTGCTCGTACACGGGAAGCACCAACCCCCACATATATCTCCACGAACTGAGAGGCAGAAATGGAAAAGAAGTTCACGCCTGCCTCGCCAGCAACAGCTTTTGCTAATAGTGTCTTCCCTACCCCAGGAGGACCACAAAGAAGTATGCCACCTGAAAGCAACATACAGAAGGTGGACAATCCAACCCAAGTTACATCGCATGCAAACGACAGCCAGAGAAGATAACCAAAAAGGGGAAATGTAGAAACAGATCTTAGTAATTCTCAAATAGGGATGAGAGGTTGAACTAAAGATCAAGTCAGCTACCAGGCCATAAGAACAGCATATAATACATAGCTTTGTAGGAAACAAAATACATCACGAGAAACCAGAAACTAAAAGTTAAGAGAATAAATAAAATGAAACAGACAGGCATAATTGGCTTCGAAATTATAAGGTAGTGTATATAAACTAAATATGTTTGAAAAAGCATGCAATATTATATATCTTGATGGCGGCAATGACTGTAGACAGGCCACTGAAACATAGATCCTCTAAGAAGGAAACAAATGAAAAAGGAAAGAGCCACACCATTTTTGGAATATGAAAGCCCATAGAATACACAACTAAAAAAGTGGCAGCCCAATGTATGAGGCTCCCTCCATTGGGGAGTGTGACATGAAAAGGAAAATTTGTGAACAGTAAAATAAAATTAGTGCCTGCGGTATACATGAGTCTTTTTCTGCTAAAGGGCATACCATCAACATGAAAAGCCTATAAAGTTATACCAGAAAGAGGAGTGAACAAAGAAGAAAACCTAATGCAGAGAACAGAAAGAAAAAGATACATAGATGCTAAGACATGGAAGGAAAAAAGCAGACCATTTTCCATAAACAAATAAAAGGATAAATGAAATATTAAATAACAGGGCAATCAAAGGAAAAACAGTTCATCACTGATAACATCTTATTAGCGGATGACTAAATTCACGAAGTTATAGGAGCCAATGCACTTGGTCTCAACTGCTTCTGGAAAACCTTCCAAATGCCTCTTTCTTGTAGAAGGTCACAAGGCTTAAACTGGGATCAAAAAAGTATCTTTTCCAAAACATTGCCTCCTATTTGATGTGATATAAACTAAATAATACTGGTGATCCAACATTCACATTATAAGGAAATATCAAAATATAAACTAAATAATACTGGTGATCTAACATTCACATTATAAGGAAAATGTCATTCATGCAGGCTGGTTTGGGATGAAAGTTGCTAATCACAGGTGCTGCAAGGACGGTTCTGAAGTCGCAGCATAATGGTTGTTATTTTGTTTTTTAGATTAAATAGAGAAACCAGTAGCACCCAGGGTTGGAGAACTTTGGGGTACAAGTAATTGGTTTGGACAACATTCCTCAAATGAGAAGCAACGAATGAAGTTCCGTAAAACCTCTTTCAATCAGAAGTTCTGACACCAAACAGCTTACGAACAAAATATGAATATTCAATGCCCACCAGAAACACTAATAACAAGATTTTAAGTTCAAAGTGAACTAATTAACCGAAAGGATATCATCAAAGTCCAGAGAAATCTGACCTGGTATTCTGACTCCTCTCCTGCGGTACATTTCCCCATGAGTGAAGAACTTCACGATCTCCTCCAGCTCAAACCTTATTTTCCCAAGACCAGCAACATCAGAAAACTTCACATCTATACCTCTTTCCAAATACTGAGGAAGCCTCTTATTATGTGCCCGACGAACACGAGCACCAGATTTCATGAATTGTTTTGCCATCTTCATGTAAGGATTATCCTCACCTTTTTCTCCCTCCTCATCCTCCTCATCTCCACCCTCAATCCCCGCCATTTCCCTCTCCAGCTCCCTCATTTTCTTCCTCTCCTCCGCCTCTGCTTTCTCAATCTTCAACCTATCCTCGTAATCTTTCTTCTGTTTCCTATAACTGAGAACCACTGTCTGATAAAATATAACGAAGAAGACCAACCCAAGCGCTGTCGCAACATTTGGATCACTAGCTAATCTATCCCAGACACCCGACATGCGCTCATTATTCATACGCGCTTGACGAAATGACTCCTCATACTTCATCTTCTTCAGCTCCTTCTTCCTTCTCTTCTCTTCCATCTTCTTCTGCGTTCTAATGGTCTTCTCCATCATTTCTCTCTCTTCCTTCATCCTCTCGAATTGATCATTCTGCCTATTTTTCAACTCATCCCTTACCCTCTTCAACTCCAAAGCCTTCTTGGACTGTGGCTTCTGCTTCACAAACGAAAACACCCAAACTGGAATTTTGGACAAAAACCCCAAATAAGGCGATGGAATTTCTGGTCTTTTCAACGGTGGAGTATATGCATTCACACAAACAGAATCAATCTTTAATTCATCCCATTGTGCCCAAAACTTTGAATCAGTCTCTATGGAAGGTAAAACAATCCTAACAACGCAATTATCCTCCAAAACAGCTAAAACCACCTGAGGCCTCTGCTTTAGACCTACACTAGGCGGTTTAATTATGTGTTTAAGCTTTCCTTCTTTCTTCAAACCCAAAATTTCTGTATATGGAAGCCGATTGGTCACAGTGGGAAGTCCCTGTGACCATGATTTCAATTGTTGCGGTGTAAAAGCTTCGGTTTTCTTCGCCGAACGCCTCTTTTCAGAAACTTTGGCTGCTAAAGAAGGTTGTGGCAGTGAACCCGAGACTACAGTGAGTGTTACGGACAGTTTGAGCAAATTCAAGAGGTGTTTCTTCGATTTTGATTCTTCGTCAGTTTCAGAGCAACCAAAATGGCATGCGATTCGTTGGCGAATGTGGATTGAGGGATTAATTGTAAGAATCTTGGGTTGTTGATGTAGAGGGAGAGATGATAAGAATGAAGAACTGAGAATGCAGTGACAGGCCATGAATTTTGGGGAGTATTTGAAGAGAAGTTCGAGAATTGATCACATTCTGTAGTGAAATTGAAGCGAATAAGTCGAGTACCACCTTGAATATTGTTTGCATTCAATGAAATCTGCGAAGATCAAAAATTCAGAATTAGGATTCTGAATAAACCCTAATTCCTCCCCACCTATACCAGCGATAGAGAAGAGACGGATATTAATCTGTCAGTTGAATTACACAGATATCCCTGAATTGTAGTAAAATTAAACAAAATGGCTAATATCTTTTAAAATGACAGAAAGACCTCACAAGGAGACTTAAATGAATTACACCCATATATTACTTTGACTCAACTTATATTTAAATCAAAGGAGAGTTAAATCCTTATCTAAATCTTTAATGGTGAGATTTGTCCATCTTTTAAAGATCTAATGATCATATTTATTTTCTTTTAAGTTTGGATTTACCCTCGTTTAAATTTGAATGTTTCTTTTAAATTTAAGTTTGTCCATTATAATTCTTTGTATTAAATCAATTTTTTTACTTAAATTTGAATAAAAATTTGATTCATAATTGAAAATCCTCTAACATGCAGCGAAAAGGCGAAGAAATTTGTACAAAAAAACTTGTTTATTCCCGTAAATCATGAACTTTTTCCCAGGGTTGAAATTTGTACATGACGACGTCTTCATTTCCGTCCTCTTACCACAACAGCAGAAACTGTCCATATGTAGATCTTCTTCTTTTTCTTCCTTTGTTGCTGCTCTTCTTCTTCCTCTGTTGGTTTGGAGCCACTGTGGTGTGGGGACGAATATGAATAAGGCATGAAGGATCTGAATTGTGAGTTTATAGTCTTGCCCAGAGCAAAACACGTGAGTACAAAGTGATCACATTGAAATTAATAGAATTTGAAACAATTGTTAGTCTATTGACCACATTGAAATTAATTTATGACAATCAAAGTGTTGAGATTTAACAACAATTTAAATCCACTAACAAACACACAATCGAAAAACAAATCAAGAATATAAAATAATAGGAAATAAGAAAGAACAAGACACAAATTTTACGTGGTTCGATAATTTGCCTACGTCACAAAGCTGCAAAGATTTCACTATTGAGAAAGTTGAATATAGAGAGTGGTTGTACAATTCACCATATTAACTCTAATCACCGAAACAACGGATTTTATATGTCCTTCGCTCCATAGACTAAGCCTCAAAAAATTTTTCATTAAAAAACCACAAAACGTTATTTCAAGTCGGGTCATCATCCGGATCACATATACAAACTAGACTCTACAAAAAATCAACACAAAGTATCATATAAAATAATTAAATCATTCGGTATCGAGCACAAAGCGAAAAAAAACCCAGACAAATTAGAACTTTCTTGTTCATGTTATTACTTTTTTAAGTGTTTTTTTTTGGCTAGAAATCCAGCTTGGCTGGGCTTCCCCAAGGTGACACCGAAGCCCTACCCCCTTTCGTGTGCCCCTCACCTCCCCCAATGAGGATCATTCATTGGATTCGTTGCAACACCACGAACAATACAATAGAACGTCTGCCTAACCACCGATTTTGTCCAGCTTTTCTAAACTTATGTACACTGGTTAGGATTATTTTAGAATCAATCTCAAGTATGCCCAAAAGTTATGAATGACTTCCAAAATTTGTTTAAAAAAATAATAAAAAATTACAACACTTGTACATTACGACACTGTACCAGAAAAAGAAAGAAAAAAAAAGGGCAACGGTAGGATAGAACTTGCTGGTTAAAAGAGATCATAACATCTGTTAATATGCGAATTCTGTAAAGAAGCATGCAGAGAGAGAATTGAAGTGATGAAACCTTGCACGGTAATGCAACCCTTTCATAAGGCCAGTTGCGTCATTACCAGTTACATGCTTGGTGTGCCACAACCGTTTGTTTTCTTCTCAAAGACCACCTGCAACCCTGTGACCATGGGATGTGTGCCCTAGCACAGGAAAACAGAGATATGATAATCTACAAAAGGGATCGAGATAGACCTGTCTCACGGCTCTAAAGTCAGCCTAGGTCTCGATTTCCCTAACACAAACTACTACTCACAAAAGCCATTTCATTTACAACCAAACTTTCACCTTCAGAGCCTTCTCTTACCGACTTTGTCAGGGCCAACCTCACCCTTCCTTCAATAATGACTCATAACAAAATAGCTCATTTCGAGTTCCTTGATAAGAATATAGGTAAAAAGCATAATACGAGTTTGCATCGAACAGCCAAGCTTGGCTTGAAGTAAGAGCTTTTGTGATTGTGATCTGAGCCATTTCACAACTGCTTGTGTGGTGTTGCAGATAATCCCAAAATATACATCAACACAAACATAGTTTACATAAAGTTAGTCGGAAACAAGGGAAATTCAGTGCTTAGATAGCCAAATGACGTCAAGAACAACTGATGTGGCAAGCAAGAAGCTGGTGAAGAAAGTGAAGGCTATGGAGACAGCAACATGATTGCAGAAACCATGTAAGGGCTTACAGAAATTTGGTAGAGCCGAGTGTCGGATCCCTGTGCGGTTTAGGTTAGTGACACCTGATGCAGCTGACCCAGCGCTCATCATTGCATATGCAAATACCTGCAACACAAGATAATCAGAAGCTATGGAAGAATAACACCACTGAATTGTTAAAAAATCATTTCAAACCTATGCCACTCAAGTTCTTGTGCATATTAATTGGCAAAAATTTGAATTAACCTTACTGTATGTCCTCATAAAACCTTTACAGGGGCCATACCAAGGAACTAAGCTCATGCAGGCAGTTGAGCCAAGAAGAATATATGGATGCCTCTATTTGGGGGTAAAAGAATGCTTAAAACAAATCCAATGTGAATCTTATTTTTGTAGAGAATATTGTCATTAATTTTATTTTCTAAAACACCTTAGATTTGAAGATTGCCTTCAGCCATATGTATTGCAGTTGTAGGGAGTGATACACATTCTATCATAATATCGCCGAAAGGGTTATATATCCTTAAAAATCAAGCTAAAAATCTTTGAAGTCAACAATGAGAATCCAAAAATTGGAAATCGCTTAGACTATCTGAACTAGTCTCAGCTATGAAATTCATACTTACTTGCACCGATTATTGCATTTTTTTTTTTTTACCAATGCAACATGTCTTTTGGAGGTGAAAAATGTATTAACTAAAAAGTTTACAGACATTACTGAGTCATGTCAATTTCAGGAAAGATGCATCATCCTACATGAGACCAATCAAAATTTGATTGACTAGAAGCCTAGAATTTCTCCAAACATCATGAAATGGAGGTTTCACCTACAGACAAACAGAAAATCCACTACCTGCATTTGTTTTATCAGCTATTTTCATTGCCCCTCCCATAATAAAAAAGTATAAAAATTATAATTTAATATGAGGTACTCATTTGGTGTGGCTACATAATACTTTCAAGCTATTTTAATACTGTCATGCTAATTCCACTTCCCAGTAACCTATTTTTCATAAAATCCAGGCTTATTGAAAAGAGTTTTTGCCCGAACTCCGAAGCAATTAGTGGAGCGGTCAGCCATAGCTACAATAATATGACAAAAACACAAAACTATACAAACTTTATTCATCACCACAGAACACAGAATCTTTGAAAACTCCAGCTGAACATGCACAAAATATGAAAGAATGTAAGTTTAGTAGTTTGTTCTCCCTTTCTCTTGCCTAAGTAAATACATTAAAAATCACAAACAAGGATATACATCAATTACCTGATCTCCAGCAAAAATAAGCCACGCATGGTTTCTAGAAGGAATTACTGGAGACTTCCGAAGCAGCCTTGACACACTAAAAAGCAGTTGAAGCACAGAGTGTACAGCAACAGCTGCCGAAACTCCAACCAGATACCTACTCAGTGCAAATTCACATTATTTAACAACTTATCATTCAAAACATATTCTCAACTTTTGTCATGCCCCAAAACAATATCAATATAAAACTCATGACGGTCTTAAAATTATTCCAATTTCACATATCATACAGACTAAATGAACTTCACCTAACCAATGTGAAAATGAAAAGTTTGCTATTCAGCTCTAATGCACTTCCATTGGCACCAACCTTGACAACATCCATTGATACAATCTATAGGGACTCTGTAATGAACGGCCATTAAACTGACCCCCCGTGTTATTGATCAACCAGGACACCTACAGAAGACAATGATAAGCCAAGATGGCACTTAGATACATAACAATCGAACGGTCTAAAAGAGCTGCCTATAAACCCTGCACAACAATCCCTCCATCAATGTACCCAAACAAAACAGATCATTCCATGTGAAGAATGAGCTTCAATGACTACTGAGACACCCACAGAGATAAAGAAAGAGAAATATTGACTACTGAGAAACAACCAATAGGACATAAAGGGCAATTCCATTAATAATCATTCACAAAAATGTCCAGGGAATAGAGTCACTCACGGGTGTGTCTCTCTATTCAATCAGGTGTCAAGAAGCTAGTGAGAGGCGGTAATAAAAACTTGTCGATATGTGCATGACTGGAAAATCATCACACCAGGCTAGGGTAAATACCGTCATGTCAGGGTCCCCATAACATGACAAACCAACAAACTAAGCCCCCACTTCTAACGGACTACTGTCCATTTCGGCCAAAGCCCGGTAACTCAAATCATAACACAAATACAAGGTCAGTAGTGGGCACTTCTTACCTCTAACATAAATTCCAATTATTGTTCTGTTTGGTTGGTGAGAAAATGAGAGAAAACAAGAAATCCTGGACTCCAATGGCCAAACTTCCTATTTCTTTTCCCCAGGTTTCTCGGCAGCGAAACAATGACCATTAGCAACTATTTAACAAGCTATATAACGAGAAAACGAATGGAAATGAGTTAACAGAAAAATGGTTAAGCAAAAACTTACTCGAATGAGTTAGAGAAGGACCACTTGGAGTACACAGGTAGGTTAAACCCATAGATGGAGATAGTGGAAGCTTCCTTTGCAGTAACCATCACTGACAACGCCGTCACGGATGTCAAAAGACACACCAGCCTCAACACAACATGCAGAAGTTCAGTTTTCCGGCTAACTTTCCGATCGGCCCCATCTGACACCAGTGGACCGCTCATTGTGCCGGTCTCGGCCGCCACCTTCGCCTCCGGGAGCTGTATACCCAGCTCCGACGTTGTTCTTCGTCCGTCCATCTGCAACTTTCTCTGTGTAGAATGGGTTTAAGTTGAAAGTGTCCGAAGAGGGTGCGGCGTTTTAAAATGGTGAAGCGGGTGTCAGGGGAAAGTAGCGTTGTCAGACAGGACACACGTGTCGGATATCTGGGGTTCAGAGGTCAATGGTCAAGGACCATGCCCGTGACAGAATAGTTGATGGGAATCGATGGCTTGTTTGTCACTTAGTTCTGTTTTTAGAGTAAATATTTAATGCAACCATTACACGGCAACATTGTCCAATATAAAAGCTAAAAAATAAATAAAGTAAAATTTTATTATATATTATGTGGATAATTATTAAATTTGTGGAATTTACTTGAACATTTATCCATTTATTAGAAAACAGGTACGCAACATAAAATTGTTGACATAATATATCTATTCTACTTAAAATATAACACGAATTCGATACAAAGTTAAAGGATTTGTGTTTTTTTTAAGTCATCACAATACAAAGTTAAAGGATTTGTGTTTTCTTTAAGTCATCACTTTAGTAAATGAGTGGATCCGATACGACACGATTAATAAATGAATTGGATATGGATGAATCCAATAAAAAAAAATACACGACACGGCTCGTTTATATACACGATTGATAGACGACACAAATCCAATATAACACAACTTATAACTTGTTAGACACGAATTAATAAATAAATCGAGTATAAATAAAATATTTTTTAATACGAACTTGGTAAATCTTAACGTGGGGTATTTCACCTGACACGTTTAATTAGCTTAATTAAACTCAACATTTTTTCCAATTTTTAACTCCTCTCTGAAATGTTCGTTTCATTTAATGGGTTTTTAAAACTTCCATTTTAAGTTAATAATTTTTTATTAACACAAACTTGACACGTACCAAAAATGACACGGTATAAAAATGATACGATACGACACGATAAAAATGACACGATACGACCGAATTGTTTAAATGAGAAAAAGGCAACAAGAATAAGACAAAAAGTGTGTTAGAGTATGTGTGGCTCATATTTGCTGTGTGCATAATGGCAAGGAAGCAGATGCCGGAGCGAGCGGAGCGTAGCGGAGCGGAGCAGAGCCTTTGACGGCATCTGCCTTGCAGGATTTATATAAAGGGGACGCTGATTAGTTGGGGGTGCAGGGGCAACGCCCCCGCGGTACGGTACAGGGATATTTTTGTAAATACGTTCATATTAGGGTTATATAAATATTTAAGATGTAACCCTATTCTATAATGGAAAAGAACAGCCGCTCGCTCTCGTGGATGTAGGCACATTGCCGAACCACGTAAATCTCTGTGTGTTATTTTCTCCTGCTTTCTTAATTGTTTGATTCCTTACTATTCACCATAATTGTTGCACGATCACAACAATTGGTATCAGAGCTAGACTACGATGTCTGGGATTTCCTCTACAAAATTCGACATCATGAAGTTCGACGGAATTGGGAATTTCGGATTATGGCAGAGGAGGGTGAAGGACCTGTTAGTGCAGCAGGGCATGGTGAAGGCATTATACGGAAAACAGTCGACAGGGATGGACGACATGGATTGGAAAGAATTGGAAGCGAAGGCTGTGGCGACTATTAGGTTTTGTCTGGCTGATGAAGTGATGTATCACGTCATGGATGAGGAATCACCGGCGAAAGTTTGGTTGAAACTGAAAAGTCGGTATATGTCCAAGTCGTTGACGAACAAGCTCTATCTTAAGCAGAAACTATATGGTCTTAAGATGTCAGAGGGCTCGGATTTGACCCAACACATCAACGTGTTCAATCAGATCATCAGCGATTTGAAGCGAGTTGATGTGAAGTTCGAAGACGAAGACAAGGCGCTGATGTTGCTGAATTCCCTACCGGCGTCTCCTACGTACGAGAATTTGGTTACGACTCTGATGTGGGGGAAAGAAACCCTCGAATTGGAGGATGTCACAGGTGCTCTGTTAGGTTTTCATCAGCGGAAGAAAGCCAGTGATGAGGCTTCACAAGGTGAAGGGCTTGTGGTGAAAGGTAACCAGGAACGTGGAAAAAGCAAATCTCGGAATGGATCGGGTAACAATAAAGCCCGGTCCAAGTCGAGGAAGAAGAAGAAGGACGTCTCTGTCTCGTGTTACAAGTGCGGGAAAAAGGGGCACTTTAAACGGGACTGTCCAGAGAAAAAAAAGGGGATTCAGAGAACAAAGAGGGTGCATCAAAGTCTGCAAACGTAGTGGAAGAAGAAGATTCAGAGAGTGGTGACGGAGATATGCTTTCTGTTTTATCTAGTTCAAATCGTTTAACAAATTCTTGGATTATGGATTCAACATGTTCCTATCACATGACACCCAACAAAGATTGGTTTGACACCTACAGGTCAGTAAATTCTGGTTCTGTTTTGATGGGTAATGATGCATCTTGCAAAGTTGTTGGAATAGGAAATATTAGAATTAAAATGTTTGATGGTATGGTTAGAACGTTGTGTGATGTTAGACATGTACCGGATCTAAGGAAGAATTTGATTTCATTGGACACTTTGGATTGTAATGGTTATAGTTACAAATCTATAAGTGGAGTAATGAAAGTAAGTAAAGGCATGCTGACAGTGATGAAGGGACAGAAAGTAGTAGGAAACATTTACAGACTGTTGGGTACTACAATTGTAGGTGGAGTTGCTGCTGTAGAGTCTGAATCAGATAATACAGTCTTGTTGCATATGCGGCTGGGTCATATGAGTGAGTGTGGGATGATAAAGCTTCATAAGAAAAATCTATTGAAGGGTGTCAAGACATGCAAGCTCAATTTTTGCAAATATTGTGTTCTTGAAAAACAGAATAGGGTGCAGTTCAAGACAGCCACACACAAGACAGAGGGGGTTCTCGACTATGTCCATACAGATGTTTAGGGACCAGTTAGCGTACTATCACGGGGAGGATACATGTATTTCGTGAGTTTCATTGATGATTACTCACGAAAGGTCTGGGTGTACTTCATGCGGCACAAGTCAGAAGCGTTTGCCAAGTTCAAGCTGTGGAAAGCTGAAATAGAGAACCAAACAGGGAGGAAGATTAAATGCCTCAGGTCAGATAATGGTACTGAGTACACAGATTCAAAGTTCCAGGAGTTGTGTGAGCAGCATGGGATCAAGAGACACTTCACAGTCCGCAAGACACCACAACAAAATGGTGTAGCGGAAAGGATGAACAGAACGATAGCCGAGAAAGCTCGGTGTCTCAAGTTGAATGCAGGGCTTGCAAAGAATTTCTGGGCAGAGGCAGTGAATATGGCATGTTTCTTGATTAACAGATCACCGAGGGCAGCACTAGATGGGAAAGTATCAGAGGAGGTGTGGACAGGCAGTGAGGTAGACTACTCTGGTTTGAGAGTGTTTGGATGTGCAGCCTATGTACATGTTTCTAGTGAGGGGAGGTCGAAGCTTGATGCGAAGTCTAGACAGTGTATCTTTCTGGGATATCAGAAAGGAGTGAAAGGCTTCAATCTCTGGGATCCGAAGGCAAACAAGATGGTGATCAGTAGAGATGTTTTTTTTGATGAAAAAGCCATGTTGCAGCGTACTCAGGAAGAAGAGAAACAAGTACCAGAAAATTGTAGCACTAATGACCATGTGGTGCAGGTGGAGCTAGAGAATCATGGTAGAGAAGAGGATGCTCAGCATGTAGAGCGTTCTATCTCAGGTGATCAACAACATCATAGTATAGCCACAGACAGGCCCAAACGCAATATCAAGCCACCTACCAGGTATGGTTTTGAAGATTTGGTTTCTTATGCGCTTATTACTAGTAGCGGGGATCCTACAACTTTTCAGGAGGCAGTACAAAGCCAAGAGAAAAGTAGATGGATGGGTGCTATAGTGGAGGAGATGGAGTCTCTGCATAAGAACCAGACGTGGGAGTTGGTGGAACTTCCCGAGGGGAAGAGAGCAATAGGGTGCAAATGGGTGTATAAGAAGAAAGAAGCAGTATCAGAAAATGAGGGAGAAAAATTCAAGGCTCGTCTAGTAGCAAAGGGTTACTCACAGAGAAAAGGGGTTGACTATGATGAGATCTTCTCTCTCGTGGTCAGACACACTTCCATCAGGACAGTGTTGGTACTAGTAGCACATTCAGATATGCAGTTGGAGCAGATGGATGTAAAAACAGTTTTCCTTCATGGCGACTTGGAGGAATGGATTTACATGGTACAGCCAGAAGGGTTCAGTCTCCCTGGAGAGGAACATTTGGTCTGTAATTTGAAGAAATCACTTTATGGGCTGAAGCAGTCTCCGAGGCAGTGGTACAAACGATTTGACTCTTACATGATCCGAATTGGCTACAAAAGGTGTGAGTATGATTGTTGTGTCTATGTAAAAAGGCTTGATGATGATTCATTTATTTTTCTGTTACTTTATGTGGATGATATGTTGATTGCTGCCAAGAGTATGAGTGAGGTCAACAAGTTGAAGACTTTGTTGAGTAGAGAATTTGACATGAAGGATTTGGGTGCGGCCAAGAAGATTCTTGGGATGGAGATTCGCAGGGACAGAGCTTCTAGGAGATTATGGCTATCTCAACATAGCTATGTGGAGAAGGTGTTGGACAGGTTCAGCATGAGTTATGCAAAATCAGTAAGTACACCTTTGGCGAATCATTTCAGATTGTCTACCGCTCAGTGCCCGAAGACAGATGATGAAGTTCATAACATGTCAAAGGTCCCATATGCTAGTGCAGTGGGGTGTTTGATGAATGCTATGGTTTGTACAAGACCAGATTTGGCACAAGCTGTCAGCGTGGTTAGCAAGTTTCTTTTAAATCCGGGTCGACAGCACTAGGATGCAGTCAAGTGGATTTTCAGATACTTGAGGGATACTACAGACTATGGCATCAGGTTTAGCAGACAACAGAGTGACCCTTCAGTTATGGGATATGTGGATGCAGACTATGCAGGGGACTTGGATGACAGGAGGTCTACCACAGGTTATGTGTTTACTCTTGTGGGAGGACCTATTTGTTGGAAGTCCATGGTACAGCCTATAATTGCACTATCTACTACTGAGTCAGAGTATATGGCAGTAGCTGAGGCTGCCAAAGAGGCTTTGTGGCTTACAGGTTTAGTCAAGGAGCTGGGTGCCCAGCAAGGTGGAGTTCAATTGCATTGTGACAGTCATAGTGCCATTTATTTGGCAAAGAACCAGGTGTATCATGCGAGGACCAAACATATAGATGTGAGGTTTCATAAGATCAGAGAACTGGTTTCTTCTGGTGAACTATTACTTGAGAAAGTTCACACTTCTGAGAATGCAGCACACATGTTGACAAAGCCTGTTACTACAGACAAGTTCAAGCACTGCTTGGACTTGATTAATGTATCTAGTTGCTAGATGGGAGATGCCTCAACTCAGCGTCCCCGGTGGAGTTCCCGAATACATGTCCTCTTCTTTTTTTTCTTCTAAGAGGTGAATATTTGTCAAGGTGGAGATTGTTAAAGTATGTGTGACTCACATTTGTTGTGTGCATAATGGTAAGGAGGCAGATGCCGGAGCGGGATTTATATAAAGGGGACGCTGATTAGTTGGGGGTGCGGGGGCAACGCCCCCGCAGTACGGTACAAGGGTATTTTTTTAAATACGTCCATATTAGGGTTATATAAATACTTAAGATGTAACTCTATTCTATAATGGAAAAGAACGGCCGCTCGCTCTCGTGGATGTAGGCACATTGCCGAACCACGTAAATCTCTATGTGTTATTTTCTCCTGCTTTCTTAATTGTTTGATTCCTTACTATTCCCCATAATTACTGCACGATCACAACAAAGTGGAATACACAAAATCAAATTTTAGAAGACCAAACAGAAATGGATGGGCCATGGATAACCAGATGCAAACAATCTACAAAAGTCTTCCCAGTTTCTTCTCTCTTCATTTCAACCTTCATTACTATGTGTATCGGTTGGTTTTGCATTTAGTGGTACTTGAATTTCTTTTTTTTCCTTCTTTTCATTTATCCATTTTATTCTCAATTATGCTATTGAATTTGAGAAGTAAGTGGCTGATAGGTGACTGTGAAGAAGAACCGTGACTACTGTGGTGTAGGTTGAAGTTGCAATTGATGATATTCTAATTACGATTGAGCAGTGACGTGAATGTAAAGTATATTGAACAGTTAGATATAGTTCAGTCTGAACTCTAAAACTCTAGAGAATAGAATTTCAAGATAAGTGGGTGATCATACAGAATGTTTGTAGTGATTCACCAGTTTCGGAGCTCGATTAATCCACTCTTAAGGAAATTTCTTCCTCTTGAGTATATTGATTATTGTGCGAAGTTTACAAAGAGTGTTTTTGCGATGCTACAATGGCTTGTTCTCTCTTTCAAGGAACTTGCCTCCTATTTATAGTTATTCTTGTGTTTGACTTGTGTCTACCGAGTGATTGATGCTAAAAAAAAGGGAAATTTGGTGGGATATAACTGTCCTTTGTACAACCTTCCTTAAGATGTGGACACAGGAAGTTGAGATCTGTAAATAACAGAAATGAGTTGAGCTCCCAACCTGAATAGCATGATCTAGATTACCGACCTCATCTTTAGGTATTTTTTGCGGTACCATTAGCAACAATCATGCCGTAACAGTGGTCTGCGTGCTTTGTCGGAGCAAGAGAGATAGGGAGTCTATTAAGAACGAAGATAGAGGGAAAGGTATTAATATCATTTTACTGGTGCAGTTAATAGAGTTAGGAGTACAGTTTGATAACGTAAAGGACTCTGTCAACTGTTTAGATAAGAAGACTGAGGAGATAAAATCTGATAACAAGGCAGTAATTAAGCTTAGAAAATGAACTAAAGGAGGATGACTACTGGACGGATTCTCACGGATGAGTACTCCCACAAACGGATGAACACTCTACAACGAATTAGCATTAGAGTATTGATCAAGTTGTAATGCTGATTTTTTGTTGTTTGATATACTTTGTAATTTATCTTGTATCTTTAATGATTTAATATCTTATACAAGAAATTCAATACATCACGTCACCTCACCGGTTTAGGTAGAGGTTTAGCTATTTTATTCTTTGATTCTCTATATAGTTTAGTCTATAAATCATGTGAGGGTTATGTAGACATTTTCAAATCTCAAGGAGGTAAAGTACATTTAGTGTATACCATAGGGAAGTAAAATAAAGTTTGGCCTATTTTAAATTTTATTGTTGTTTATAACTCTAAAATTTAACCGATACTCGTGATTAATAATTGCTTACAAATATCCAATATTTACTCTGCATAAATTAATTTGATGTATCGGTATCCTACTCTACCATGGAGAGGTTTCTCGTCGTCAAGAAAAAAAAAAGGGCAATTAAACTAGTTGGACAATCCTATTTGTCCAATTTTTATTTTGGGTAAAATCACATTGATGCATAATTGTTGATATAAATAATACTTCTTCTCCTGTGATTCCAAAAATGACATGAAGACTTCAATAAAAGCACAAAGAAATCCAAAATCTCTAGATGAAGCACTATAAGGAGGAGAAAATCAAGTACAATAGATTTTTTTGGAGCTGACTTTTTTAAGTGAAAAGTTACAATTTCAAAAATTTCACAAAAAAAATCGAAGTTAAAAAATCTCCAAAAACTATTTGGAGTGTTCTTTAAAAAGCTGAAATTTTTTTAAAAAAAATTCGTTTGAAGTAACTTTTTTGCATCAAGATAGAAAAATAATTACATATATATATATATATATATATATATATATATATATATATATATATTATGTATAATAATTCTCAAAATATAAATTTTAAAGTTTTTTGCATCACTAAAAATATTTTATGAATATACTAAACCAAAAAATTATATGAAACCCACAACAAAATTCCAAATATCATAAAATCATTTCTTGAATCAACCTAAATAAACTTTTTTAGATCCAAAAAACAGTAAAAAAAATTGAAGTCCAAACGAACCTAACTTATTTTACTTCAAAACCCTTAAAAGTTATGTATTTAATGTAGCTCCAAACACGCTTAGTATATTTCTCAAAGCCAAAAATTTCTGGATTTAGTGCATAAAAGAATGTAGGTTGATGTACATAACTGTAAACAGAGATGAGTTGATCTAAGGACACAAGATCTTGCATAATTAAATTTTTCATACACCAACCACTACAACAAGAGCTCAATCAATTATGATGAAACATTATGTGATACTCTACAACCAACCCCTCCATACCCATAACATCATAGTAAGATTTCTCAACCCAATAAGACACTAAAACCGCTGCAGTACCCCCTTAAACAAGTACAAGCTGCGGGGTAAAAACTAACAAAAAGAAACATGGAAAAGATAACTAATACCCTCAACTGCATTTGCATTTGGTACCATTTGCCGGACTTGGAAGTTAATGAGAGAACTTCGCAAACATAAGATAACGAAATTATAAGGAAAAATATGTCAAGGTAAAAGCAAAAAACTAAACACCGAACATCAGATCCACAATTTTGGACACCATAGATTTTGCTGGTGTGGCAATTGTCCCAGATGACTGGCGAGTACTGAGACTACCATTTTGAAGATAGTAAAGGTGAGGAGAGGTTCTCGAAGTGTTTGGCTCTGAGCTTCTACTAGCTGGTGCAGGAGGTAACGTCATAAATCCTTGATTGCTGAGCCTTTCATTCAGAGCCTGTCGTTGCATAGGATCCACTGGCTTCACTCCAACAATTAGAACACCATTTATTTGCATCCCATTTTTGCTGAGAGCTTTCTGAGCATCAGATCGATTCTGTACCAACAAAGCAGCAAACATATAAATAGCCATACTCTGGTTTGAAACAGCCACTTTTAACACAAAAACCACAAGTATTATTGCCAAAAAGGGCTACAAATTGCACTAGGAGAATCAAATTTGAAAGAGAAGTTCTTGATGATGATTGTTAAAGGAGTAAGCAGGATACATGGACAGTTGAGGCTGCCAATAGACCTTTGGATATGGAATTGTAGATATTATATGTAATCTTCAGACTTGAACAGAATATCTCATTGTTTCTGGTCTCTATTGCGTTGACAACAAGCCATCATAAAGAGGTCATTACCCAGGTTAGTTCCATCAACCAAGGGTTCTGTGAGATCGTCTGCTGGATTATTAGACTCGTTTGCAAGTGTTAATCAAAGAATTACCTCAAATGGTTTTCCAACAGCATCAAGATAAGTGGAGAACACACCCTTAACTTTTCACACTCGCAATATATTTTTTGACCAAGTTGAACAGAGACGCTCATTGAAAACAATACTTGAAAAAATAAGATTGATTTTGGATTGGTCCCAAGGGAGATTTGACTAACAAGCCATTGATTGATTTTGGATTGGTCCCAAGGGAGATTTGACTAACAAGCCATGTGAGTACAGAGGATGACTAGTAAAAATTCAATTGAAGAAGGATGACTTTTTTCATAAGCCCAAAGAGGAAGATATAAGAACAATGAGGCGTGTCATTGAGAAGAAACAAATCAACAGCCTCACAAGTCCAAATCCATCCAAATACCCCCACTAAAGAAGATTGTAATCATATTTAATCTGATGATTTTGGTTCACACGAAGACTATTTCCAATCAATTGCATGAAGACGATTACTCTTCACCTTTACCACCTCCTTAGCTTATACCCCATTTTACACATGTTCAAAAGTAACAAAATGACTTGCATTGTTTCTAATCAAAGAAAATAAATGTGTATGCCATACTTCCCCCAGCAAGAACATAAAATGAATTACAAATAAAAAATAAAAAAATAAATGAATGCAAAACCAAAGAAATACAATACAAGCAGCTCAAACTAAAAATTGTGGAAGAGCAAAAAAACCTGATACAGAATGTGTATCCAATTTGCATCTCTTGGACCAGGAACATGTTTCAAAATCAAACCACATTTTTCAAACTCGCGCAAAACGAAGTTGGTGTCACCTGGGGAAAATCTGGAAACATAGATCAAAGTATGTTATTACAGGTCTACAGCATAAATAAATGAGACTAGTAACTATAGACACTAATAAAATTTATAAATCAGCCATATTATGCTTTTCCAAACTCCCAAGGGAACAAAATGCCCCAATTTTATTCTATTTCACTACAAGGTCTATTATCATTTAGGATAAAGTTAGAACTCTCAAGGGAACAAAATGCTCCAATATTGTTTCATTTTCGCTACAAGGTCTATTATTTTTTGGGATGAAGTTATAACACTATAGTGAAGCCATTTGGACTAGCAAAAGAACAAAATAACAAATTGGGGAACATGAGAGGAGTTCCCAATTATAATACCAACACAGTGCATGATCACCTACCCACAAGTTCTATATTTGAATCCATAAACAAGAGCTACAAAAGTAAATATATACTCAGATTTTTGGCATTGTGGATTATAGTATCTCAGCTTCAATTGACATCCAAATGGCCCCAAGATAAGAAAATGATATTTCAATATCAAATTTTAGTACCATCATGCAAATGACAAGCTCTAAGTATGTAGGGCAATACATTATCAAGGCACAAAATTGCAGAAACAGAATTCACAGTCAAATGCCTTGAATAGGATTGGCAACTACATATATCTCAATAAGCCACAAGGCATCAGTATAATCATCTAACAGTATCATATCATCTCATTCCATATAAGGCAACAACTTGTCAAATGTCATGAACATATTCCAAAACTAAGCACCACTTCAAAAACTGCATAAACACAGTACTAAAACTAGATGCAACACATGTTTAAACAGAAAGTAAAGATCCAAACGATACCCAAAGACAGTGACCCATTCTTCCTCGTCAAGGTTTCCCACAGATAAGAAATTCTTCTGCATCTCTGGCCTTGCCACTTCCCTCGGAGGTGGAAGTGTGATCAAAGCACCAGGCTGAACGACACCCTTCACAGGAGAACCCTTTCCCTTGTCATCTGGCTCACCACTACCACCACTCTTCCCTGGCGACCACCAACTCAAGCTTGCCACTGGAGTCTGTTGATTCAGATGTTGCTTACCCATTACAGCATACGAAGTGCTTGCCTCAGACTTGCTTTTCAGAGTTGCAAATTCCTTCCCGGAACTCAGGACTGGGGTTCTTGGGTCTGACTTAATTTCCGGGGACACCATATAGTCTGGAATCCCAGATTCCGGAGAAAAGTCAGACCGATCTTCAAGAGTAAACACTGGTGGAGGCGGAAGATCGGAGTTGGCAAAATTCTCACGCCATAAAGCTGAAACAGCTGCTGCCTGACCTGGAGTACTGAACTTTCCTGAGGATTTACGAGAAGTAACTGGTGTCGCTAAATCATGGAAGAACAATGACTGCCTTCCAGATTTGGGAGTTCTCCGTACTGTGTTGCTCATTTCTCTAAATGATGCCTACAAATCAACAATGAAACACTTCATTACATCAATTACAAGCACAGATTCTAAGACGCATACACACATCTATAAAAACCCAATCAACCACAAATGCACATACAAAATAGTAAACATATATAGGCATACACACATGTAAATATGGATATGAGTGCAAAAACACACAATGAATTGAAATCATCGCATAAAAATGAACAGAGGAATATCGAGCCAAGTAACTCACAGCTAGAGACCCGATGTTTCAAAAATTGAGAAGTGAAATTTTGCGGAAAGGTGTATAACTTCTGTGCTCTCTGGTAAACAGTTCTACAATCACCTACACATACAATACATACACAGACATAAATCGACATATATCAAATATGTGAACTGAACTATATATATATACGAACTGAAAAAGGCCTAGAAAGCAAGAGCTAACTGATCTGATATTTATCAATACTGAAGAATCCGTGTATTCTACCATTTGAAGAGAGAAATAAAGAGTACCTAATATTGGTGTTGAAGATGCAGAAGATCTGTTAGGGTTTTGAATTTTGGGGGGTTTTTGAACTTTCCCCCCCACACTTCATTGAGAGCAGAGAGCACCGAACGAAGAACCCTAGGCGTGAGCTAAACGCTAGTTATTTAAGACAGTTTAAGGTAAATTTCATTCGAGCCCCTAAGTTTTGTGAAAATAATATAACGAATACCTATTATTTGTACAATTACATAAAGAACCTCAATCACTCTTTTTAATTGAGAAATAACTGATATTTTTCATAATAATATAATGGGAGAATTATACCGAGCCCCCTAAGATTTGTCATTTAATCACTCAGACCCCTGATATTTAAAATATTATATATAAAACCCTAAAGTTTGTACATATATAACACTTAGACTCTTAATGTAAATATATCTGTTAATAAATTACATTTAAACCCCTCTAAAGTTCGTAGGTATATACCTCTTAAGTTTAAAATATTATATTTAGATCAAAATACTTCAATTAAAAATAAAATATCAAATATTTTAAATTTTACAATTAAAATTTATATTCTATTGTATCTTTTATTGAAATAAAATTTAATTTTTGTCTTAAAAATCGTAATTAGTATATAAATTCTCTATTGAAATTTAATTTGGTCATTTAAACGACCAATTTAAAATATCAAACTACCTCAATTAAAGCTAAAATATATTGTATTCATTACACAATTTGCGTGGGTCCACAGCCAATAAGGGATGGACGCGTGGCAAATTGTGTCACATCAGAGACAGAAAAACCGCATGCCCTTACTGACACATGACTTGGGAAAGCAAACATTTAATTACACCATTCCCTTGATGAGACCGCATTCAATGCGGTAAGACTCGGAATTGAAAGGCAATAAATGTCTCTAAGGCTGGGCATTTATTGCATCCTCCCCGAGTGGAGATCATTAGACAGTCGGCAGCCCAATGACACAGCATTGATTGCTCGGCACCCCGAGCAGTTAAAGAAAGGAAGACATTCCTCATCAGAATCAGTGCACACACTGCCTGTACCTAATGATCATCTACTGACAACACTGACAGCAATCATGAGCTTTTGAGGTATAAATACTCCTCATAAAAGGCAAAAAAGTATGGAACAAGAAACTCTTGATTACGAAAAAATACTCAGTGCTTTCTTCTTCCTCTCCCTTTCAAAAACTGACTTGATCGTCGGAGGGGATAAGCCGGAAAACACTCCGACGCCCTTCTAACTTGTTCTCCTTTGTTCCAGGAACCTTTCCCCAGCCCTACTGGATCATTCCTTCAATTCACGAGGGTCTCCCGTTACCGTTCCAGGTTACCACCAGACCTCACAGGCTGTCCCAAGCAGCGTGTTTGATCGCTCAACTGACTCACTCAAGTTCACCAAGGGAGAGATCTGTTTTCGTTTTTTATATTGTGCAAGATCCTGCACGTACAAAATTCATGTTTTATTATGAATGACTTAGATCCCTTGTGTTGATTTTTTTTTGTATTATTCCAATAAATAGTATAATTGTATACTAATTACAATTTTTAAGAAAAAAATTAAATTTTTGATTTTAGTTTTATTTCAATAAATAATACAATAGAACATGAATTTTGATTGTAAAATTTAAAATATTTGATATTCTACATTTGATTGGAGTATTTTAGTCTAAATATAATATTTTAAACTTAAGGGGTCTAATTATTATATACCTACAAACTTTAGAGGGGTTTAAGTATAATTTATTAGTAAATATATTTTTATTAGGGGTCTAAGTCTTACACGCGTAAAAATATTAAAGGGTCTATGTGTAATATTTTTAATATCAGAGGATCTGAGTGATTAAGTGACAAATTTCAATTGATCTTGGTGTAATTCTCGCTAATTATATTAGCCTTGACTCTTTTTTTTTCTCTTTTTCTTTAAACAGGATGAGTTCCATAGGGTGACATGCTTAGATGGTAAAGATGAGTTTAAGGTCATAAACTCTTTCGGGGGACATTTTATGACATTCAAAAGTCTAATCGTTCAACAGTCAAAGAAGCTCTATGTAAAAGGAACGTTATGAAGGTTTATGAGGTGTCTGGTCTAAGTACACCTGTCTTGTATCTAAGTAAAGAAGATCAATACACTATGTGTAGATGCTCTATTTACATTGTAGTGACACATTATAAATTGTTAAAGAGAAATCAAAATGTTTAGCTTATTACACCTGTTGTATCTTTCAGATGGAATTGGATAATGATTTCTGCAATGTTAGATGACGATTCTGCCATTGGGTTTGATATTATAGTTGAAATTGTATCCAAGTTTGTTAATTTTGCTATTGTTTCTCTCTCTAAAACTCTCTCACCCCCTGTGTGATTCAATTTTTATCTTTTATTTTCTGAAAATCTGTTTGCAGGTGTGCATGCGTGCCTGTAACAGATTAATCCAAAATTATTAATTTTGTAGTAATAATGATATAGGCATCCAAGAATAGAAATTATTAAGGTTAATTTTGGTGAAGTCTCAAGTAGTTTTTATCTAGGTTGAATTTATTCATGTATCAAATACAGGTGTATACGTTTTTGCACGTGCATGTCAGAGTAAGAGAGAGGGGAAGAAGACGGGTGCTTGAGTATGGACTTAATTTTGTTCGAATGAGGATTAAGTTTGCAATGAGGGTAATGTTGTTCCAAAAACTAATAGAACATGAAATATCATTGTTTTTATTATAACTTTTAGTGATGTGAGCATTTTGGATCATAGAAGGGATCATTCCCTTGCAAGTTTTCAAAAACAAGAGGTGGTTGTGTCGTTTTACAAAAGTCAAGGCTCATTGTATTTTACTTAGTATTTAAGACTTGTAAACCCAATTTTTTTTTTTTTTGAAGAAAAGAAAAATTTTATTGATAAAAGAAATCAATTACAAGAATCAAAGAAACAAACTTTTTGAAAATATACAAGAAAATGGCTATAATCCTTTAAGATGATTAAAACCATTTTAAACTACAAAACTTCATTTCCTGATCTTCCTAAATCAGCCCAGCATCAAAGACATATCACCTTCTCCTTGCAGCATGCCCCCAGACAGATCTGTGTGCAGAAACACTCTGCTAGACAATGACAGAAACACCACTGATCTCCTCTCTGTCCAACCTTGAAACATTAGCAACCATTATCCCTGCAAAAGCCAGCTAACCACCAATTTGAGTCATCAAAGACGTAAAGAACCTCTAATAATAGCCC